GACAAAAGTATGAAAAGCCTGTCACTCTATAAGAGGACCCTGATCCCTCTGGAGAGGAAAACTAAATTCTATAAAAAGAAAACCAAACCCAACCTGAACCAATCGTCCAAGAAGTCTACCACAGGAAAGGAGGATTGCCCTCCAAACCAGTTCCAGGAAAAGGCATGGTGTCCCGGGTTCCTACTCCGAGCCAGGTGTTTCTAGCATACAAGTAACAGACAAGTTCAAGGTTGGACGGTGGTGGGGCGAGTCCTTCGTCCAGACAGAGCCTGGGCGGGGAGGGGGGGGGCGCAGTCTACAGGTCGGAGTCGCAGGGCAGGGAGCTGTGGCAGGGCCGGGTGCTGCCCGAGGAGGCGCCCTGGGAACCAGCCGCCGTCTCCCCATCCAGCATGTCCATGGGGTTCGTGTAGGAGGCCTTGGGCGGCGGCCGCGGCATGGGGAAGCCCACCTTGGGCTTGCCGGCGGCGCCGAGCTCGGCGGGCCGCGGCTGGTGCTGGCCGTCGCTGTAGTACTTGATGGCGGGCGTGAGTGCGGGCTCCGGCCAGTCGACGTACACCGTGCTGATGCTGGGGCGGCGCGGGCTGCCGGCGGACGCCTTGCGGCAGCGGTGACAGCGCTCCTCACACCAGGGCGCGAAGCTGAGCGCCAGCGAGAAGCCGCCCAGCAGCAGCAGGCAGCTGCCCAGGTAGCCCAGCACCAGGCTGTAGCTGACTTCCACCGTGACCGGGCTGTCCGGGGCGGGCAGGACGGCGCGGTCCGCCAGGAAGTGGTTGTACCAGGAGACCGGGACGAGGCTGAGGAGGCCCGCGACGAACAGCACGACGCCCGACAGGCCCGCCAGCAAGAAGTGGGGCTCCTCCCGCCAGCAGCGCACGCCAAGCGACGCCAGCAGCAGCCCCAGGGCCGTGGCGGCCAGCGACGTGACCATGAGTCCCCGCGCCACGAGCACGGGCTCGGCGGCGAAGTAGCCCCAGTCGTCCGCCTGGCCGCACTCGCGCTCGCGGCTGCTCTGCTCGCGGCACATGTCCCACAGGCCCTGGTACAGCACCACGTCCACCGGCTGGTTGAGGAAGCCCTTCACCAGCCGCCAGCCGGGCGCCAGGGTGCTCGTCAGGTTGAGCAGCAGCCCGCAGGGCGCGAGCACCATGCCCAGCGTCATCACCACGGGCGTCCGCATCCCCGGGGCTGCGCCGCGCTCCCGCTGCACCGCGGACCTGCTGCCTCCTCCCGGGACGGGCCCCCGGG